GTCAAATTAATGAAGGCATTGAAGATTTGAAAATTTTATCAGACGCAGAAAAGTGTTCGAATTCTTTACCGTCAACGGAGATAGAGCACACGTTTCTTCAAAGATAACGAGAGCCAATTTGCTTATGGATTACCATTACCGCTTAGTGACCACAAACGTCGACGCTATTTTTTGTCATACAGATGTATCGTTTGCCCTGGTGTTTGTTTTTTTGGTTTTTAAATTCCTTTCTTTGCAAAATGAAAAAAAAAATGTAACAAAACAAAAAATTAAGTCACTTATTCCTTCTTACGTTCCCGTAGAGTTTAAAAGCAGGTACAACCATAAATCAATTCACTTGTCGTGGCATTTGGAAAACTAAACAAACTGATAAAGACGTCCTTCAAGATGGTATTGACGATCAAAGAAAAGAATCAAGTTTTCAAATGACCTCGCCCATTTATTTATGTAAGGAGTAAGGAATACCATTTGCTACCTTCTGTAGCGTATTTAATTTCTAGATAGAACAAATACGTAGTCGCTAGATATATGTAGCATTGAAGAACTTGGCCATACTTTATAGGTAATTGTGACGGACGGACAGCGTCGATTTCATTTTGCTTATCATTCTGGCACAAAGATCTATGGTTGCTTGATCGAAACGACGATGCGTGTTTCAGCGCATTACGAACAATTGACAAACCTTATATACCACTTTTGTGAGTACAAATGCATGAAAATGTCTCATACCTCTTTATAGTTTTAGCAATATCTGTAGTGCCGAAATATGTTTGTCATAACTATTTTCTTAATATGTTCACGGCCAATCAACTAAGTACGATTTGTCTGCTGCTTTTGATACGAGACAAATGATTGAGATCACTTGATACCAATATACTCTAGTTTTTTTTTGCATATACGACCAGCTACTAAAAGGATGTCCTCTATACATGCAGATACAATCGCAGTCAGAGAGAGTTATAGGGAGAGAGAGAGAGCGAGAGAAAGATCAAAGGGGAGGGTATACCCTTCGTATGTGTTCTATTTGCGGGTGAAAATATCAGGCATAGCGGCTGGCTGTAAGCACCAAAGGATCTTACATGTAGTTATAAGCTGTTCCTATATATTTACAGTAGGATAAGCATATTTTACTTTCCGCTGATTTTCTTCTATGGCTGCAGTTTGGTATTCTCTTGGGAGTATTGTAGGGATCGTGCAATAAGTAAGAACTGTGTAAGTAAAAACGCAATGGAATGGGAATATCACCTTCAAAAGAATTTAGCTCATGCACTTCAAATGTGGCCAACTAACCGATTAGCAACGCCAAGTCGCTTTCGAATAGAGGTATAATGAAGAAGAAGATTGCATATGCTCTTCCTCTTCTGGGTCGGACTGCCGACTAGGTAACATACCACCGTCCGAAATAAAATCCGTTATCATCCGCTGGGATAGCACGAAGACCGTCCGTTCCGTCCGATGACCATTGACGATAGCTCATTTAAGTTAAGGTTCTTTATAGACATCTACACCCGGTTTTTTATTACTGGAAGTGTGGAATTTGGTTAGTCACACAAGTTCGAAGTAAATTCTGGTGAAGATATAAATAGCAAAAGTAAGGACGCCTGGAATAACCACTGAGGGATAACTTGGCATTATTTTATTAAAGGGTAGATTTTTCCCACGGAGGAAAAATTCCGCACATCATATTGAAAAGATCTCTGCTGGTAGGATAATACGTAGATAATAAAAAAACGACTGAAATGGAAAGAAAAAATTGATAATAACAATAACAAACAACATAAAGTAATACCTGACTTTATTAAGACTTACGCCGTATGTATATGTAGCCTTTTCTGCGTGACGCAGAGGAAAAGAAGAGTTACAGAAAATGTGATACCATTGAATAGAAGCTAATCGTTATGTTAATCGGTTATTTAAAATCATCATGATCGTTACGGAAGGTCTGATTGTGTCTCGAAGGTTCGTATGTACGGAAATCGGGAAATGTTAATATTAGTCCGGTAAATATCTATCTTAAATTTCAGATCCGTGCGCTTAATCAGTTGTATTCAAATTTCGTCATTTATATATATATATATATATGTATATATATATGCGTACAGTAGAAAAAAATATTTAATTTGAGAAATCATGACCAGACATAATATGCAAATATTCGTAACCACATGTCTGGCGAATGCTTTTTCCGATAAACAAATATTGTAAATATGAACTATACAAGATAACCAACCATTTCCTTATGTACTTTGGGAGCATTATACAGTTCATTACAAAGTTTAGAGAGTTTACTTGAATGCCTATCTTACGCTGGAACAGTTGCTTGTCATTGTAGACAACGAAGCGCGATACGAAACTTTTTCCTTTGATGCCAGTAGAGGGTGTAGAGATATAATTGATGAGTTATTGCAATAGAAAATTCAATTATTTGAATTAGTTTATAGTAGTATACCTTAATCACGAGCTTATAAAATACTATATGCCTCCGATGACTATTATGTAATAAAATCATGAGTGGGTGGTAAAAAAAGTTCTGGGAAGGCCGCGATATCGTCGAGGAAAAGGCTTAGGCTTACCGGTATCTACATGGCTAATAAGCTTCTGGAAAAAATACCATACCTTAAACGTATGATCATTAGGACGGTCCTTTGGGAATAAGAATATTATATGAACCCTGAGGATACACTTTTATTAAGGTCTTGATTATAAGATTAGTGCTAGTAAAATTTGTTCTGAAAATATCCTTAACGAAACGTTCCACAGTTAGAAAGACACTGCCACAGTACTTTTCAGTCCATACACACAAATTCTTTCCTAATCCGTAAACCCAAACGATGCTCAAAGAATAACAATTTTTTTTTAAATTTTAACATAAACTCGAAATTAAAAGAACAATTTTTTTAGGCATGCAATGTTCAGCCGTTCAAAGTCGACCAGTGTTTCCTAAACAATAAACTGCCTCAATAAATGGACGTACAAATAAAGCGAAATCACCTTGAAGAGAGTGGACTACATTCCCCGGGTAGTTGTTACGTCTCCTGTGCAGGTGTTATAAACAGATATTCTCCGGGTAAGCGTTCTGCAGAGACAATAACAATTCGTCAATCGGTTAAAATCTTTAACATTATTACGAAGCATTCTCAGCATTCCCATGCATTGCGCTGCCCGATTTTGGGGCGACCTAGCTGTAGAATTCTTTCTCATCGTTTCTGAAGTTTTTTTTCTTAATTTATGCAAGAAATTTTAAGAAACTCTATACGTGGATTTTCACACATAAATATGAGTTGCGTATATGCTTATGTATGAGTACGTATAACCCCACAGCGTAAACAAGCGTCATTGATGTCCTTGAACAGGATAATTGAGTTTTCTTAGCCTTCCTCTGCACCCGTTCTTGTTGCGCTCACATATCAAACAGCACACTACTGCGGTTCATCTTTCGTCAATCCCATATTTGGAACAACTTACCAGGCACTACTACTCTCAAGTCGGACGTACGCCATTCTTCCCTTTCGTATTTATAGCCCGCATGTGCAGTAGCCATCCCCTGAGTGGCTCGCCAAACGAAAAACAAGTATATGAAAATTTTTTTTCCAAACCATTTTTTTCTTCTTGACCTCCTCTAACATAATACTATTAAATTTTACATCTAGAACCGTTTGGGATAATTGATTATCTTCAAAGGGATAAAAAGCGCTATGTACGTTTATTCTAAGATAAGCAACTCACTTGAATTATCGGCATGAAAAATATTTATATTAAATCCAGAAGTTAGGTCCTAATATGATTTAGGGATTGATGTATATCCTTACAGATGTAGGGTGCGAACATATCAACATATCAACATTAAATATAATTTTTGCTTAAAAAACAACTTTTACTATAAAATTAACAAATTAAAGAAACTCTAAAGAATAGTTGAAGTATTAATAAAGACATGATGAAGATGACCGGTTCCATAGTCGAAGATATAAGAGCAAGACAAGTCGAGTCAAGTGACAAACGTGAATCGTATTTTATTATGCAATACAATGATTGTGTAATAAATGCCGCTAAAAATGGTAATTCCAGCAAATATTCTTAATTGCTTTTAACTTGTATTGGTTACGATGAGTGTTAAAATACATAAATATTTGAAATGAAAGTTAACCACGGAAGTGCTAACTGATCAATATGTCAGAGGTATAAGCACCCACCAGCAGCAGCAGCAACAGCACCAGCACCAGCATCAGCAGTAACATCAAGCGCAGACCATGCAATTAGGTTGTAAAGAAAATTTTAGATTCACAAAAAATCAACTAACTGTTCAACACACATAAAAAAATAGTAACGATAACAATAACAAAAAATCACTTCCTACCTAATAAAAGAAAAAAAGACAGTCAGTCAGTCAGTCAGGGTATGCAAGCATTTATATAGCTTAAGAAACAAAAACATAAAATAAAATTATGCACACGAAATGAACTGAACTTAAATGTATATAAAATTGTTGTTATTATTGCAATTGCGACTATTGTTGCTATATTTATTTTGGTTGTTTCTTTTTTTTTTTTTTTTGTTTTGAGACTTGTTGCCAATGGACATAGTAGTAAAGGGGCTGAAAGCCGATAACTGGGTACAAAATATAAAATACATCATAATAATGATAAATATGTTAATCATGATTATCACGTTTACTAAAGTGATGATGGCACTGCTGGTATGATTTAACAAAAACCATCTAGTGAACATTACGCATGCGCGCCAGACCAACACCATAATGAACATTAAACTGGTAAAGCTAGCAAAAGCCAAAGTAAAACTCTCCAATCCACTATGAAAAGTCTCCCATTCATATTAGTGCATGAGTGAATGCGCGTGTGTGCTAATGTTTGGATATATGTGGATATGTATGAGTGCCTTCTACTGTCATCTTATGTGTGGCCAAGTTGTGTTTTCTGCCTCTCAAACAAATCTTTGCCGACTATAAAGCGGAGCGCACTGGCTTGTTACAGGCATTCAATCGTCAGTTACCTACTAGAAAACAACTAAATTTATTTTATTTTAAGTTTTTTTACTTCTTTCCCCCCATACACACACAAAACTCACAACTATGAACTCCTTCTCCGTGGTAAGTTTGCAAAAGGATACTAATGTGCGATACGAGCGGATTAACTCAAGTGGATTAATTGCCAGAATTAATATGTGGATTCTTCTTCTTTTTTTTTTCTTTGTTTCTCTGTGTGTGTATATGTGCGTGTTTTTGTAGTTCTTGGTGTTTGCCTTGGCAGCTATGGTTGTTGCAGAACCACCATCCGGATATAGTTATCCGCGCGGCGGTGGTGGAGGCGGTTTCGGAGGTGGTTTTCGTGGCGGATTCGGAGGTGGTGGTGGTGGCGGCTATCAGGCAGTTAGCGGCGGCTTTCAAACCTCCGAAGGTCTAAATGTTGATCCTCAATTGCTGGAGCAAGTGCGTCAAATCTTATTGAACGAAGAAAGTAAATCCGGCGGCGGCGGAGGCGGTGGCGGTGGCGGATATCCAAGCCCGTCGAGCTCTTATGGGGCACCTTCACCGCAATACGGTGTTCCCAACTATAATGGTGGTCGTGTAGTTGGCATTGACTTGGAAGGTGTACGCCAAGCCATCCAGGTGGCTCAGTTTGCCCAGCAGAGTACCCAGCCTGGTGGCTATCCTGGTAAGCCTAGCGGTAGTTACGGTGCTCCCTACTAAGTACTACATCACAGAAGACTAGCTCATTTAGCGTAATGTAAATTGGACGCGACCACACAGACTTACACACAGACACAATGACACACAGACAGTTTTGCTGCCAAAAAACAAAAAGTTCTCGTAACGTAACCGCGAAGCGAAGATGAAAAGCGCATGCCAATAATAAAACGGATTCAATTTGGGTCATTTTGACATAACGACAACAACAACAATAAAAAGAATAATAAAGACAACACCAACTGCCATTATCCATGTCGAGAAGATATATACGGAAAATATAGAGCAAACATCATATTTTCAAGGAAATTTAAGAAAATAAATCAACCAACACAGAGTGAAGTCGATGTTCGTAATGCAAACCAAAAAAAGAAACAAACGAAAGAACAGAACAAACACGATCATATCGTTCATTTACATCATGTTCCATCCACTGAACAATAGTAATTGCCTGGTTGAGACGATGATGATAATGATGTTTGTATTATTTGTGAATTGTGTTGTTTTTCAACATTTTTACACCAACAACAATAACAGTTTAATTATTTTCGAGAATATTTCTTGTTTCCGTTTTTCACTGGAGTTTAACGGCAAAGCAACACATCGCACAGCCCCTCTCCTACACAACTCATCAAGCGTCCTAAAATTTCACCTCAATTTCTTGAAACGTCTTGACTTTGACACCGCAGCTGTGAGAAGAGGAGAATTGTGTTGTGTTACGTAAACCGATCAACTCTGGATATTTCAATTTTTCAAATTCCTACCCTCGCCCACCAATCTTACTATCCTATCTGCTATCTATTTTCGCCCTGGCCTGTTGTCCTTTTCCTTTTCGGGCCGGGGCATTGTTATATTATTTTGTAAATAGTTATTTTTCTTGTTTATTAATATATTATAACAAACACAAACAACAACAACAAAAAAAAAAATGCATTAATTAGCCATGTAAGTGATAATTTTTTTTTTTTTTTTGTTTTTATTATTGTATTATTAAAAATGAAAAGAAAAAAAAGAAAATATTTTATATATGAAACAA